GTCTGGAGGTTCTTCTCGGTGGTGGGCACGAACACGGGCTGCGGGCTGGGTTCGCGGGGCTGCACGGTGGTCAGCGTGGCGGGGCGGCCGGAGTCGATTCCGCGGAACACCTTGAAGTGCGTGTCGCCCTTCTTGCCCTCGTCCTGGAACGTCCCGAAGGTGTTGACGCCGCCCGACGTGTCCTCGGCGCTGACCGCGTGGCGAGCCGAGTTGGGCCCCGGCCCGGGCCTCGGCTGCGGCGCCGGCTGCTTAGGGGCCTGCAGAGGCACGTGGTTCAGGTGAGGGTTCACGGGCCTCGGCTGGGCCGGCCGGACGTGAACGGGGCCGCCCTCCGAGCCCGGGGGCGGAGGGGGCCTCATGAAGTCGATGGCCGGGCGCTGCGGGCGTGGGGGGGCATGAGGGCGCTGGAGGCGTTGGGCAGCGGGCTGGGCGCGGGGCAGTTGTTGCACGCCGCGAGGAGGCTGCTGTCTGAACGCCAGGACGGGCTGCTGCTGGGACGGCTGAGGTTGCTGCTGCGGGGGCTGCGGTGCGAGCTGCTGCTGCAGCTGTTGCTGGTTCTGGATGTGGGCTTGTCGGAGGTCAGGGTAGTTCTCGTCGTAGTACTGCTTGTACCGGAGATACCAGTTGTTGTACCACTCGGCGTAGCTCTGCTGGTACTCTGCCTGCTCGGGGTCCAGGTGCTGCAGGGGGTGTGCGTGCTCCTGCTCCTCCCTCCTGTGGTGCTGCACGTTGTAGAAGGGCAGGCGAGGAGGCTGCAGGAACGGCGACGGGTTGCGGGCGGAGTTGTCGACGCGGGCGGGCGAGGGCGAGTCCGACAGGAAGTAGGGGATGGAGACGAGGCCGCCGATGAGGGCCATCCACGTCATGGGGCCGATGGCTGCGAAGGAACAGGCGACGCTATTACTTATAATCAGCATAACAACCCAAAGTGATTGCATGATTCGTAGTTATTTAATAATGATAATAAAAAATTACGCTGCACATTACCAATGCGCTTTCTATAATAAGTATGTCATTTGTATTGCAATTCTAATATACCAGTGCATGACCAAGCAAGAAAGCTTAAGAATTCATCATAAAAGTTAGAGGGTGTGAATCTGATTACGCATTATGAAATGATGTGCATGTCACCGTGTACTATTTAATATTCATGGACCCCAGGCAATGGACCCCTAAATATATGCATACCTACGCAGGACCATCAATACGCGAGCGTCCTTTAGTCCTTCGCAAAGACTACGTGAGGAAGCGAAAACAACTTACTCAGGAGGGTGGTGACGCCGGGGTCAGCTCGAGCCATGGAGATGTCCCACTCGGAGGTCGAGAAGTCGCGGCTCTCCACGATGGTTTCCTGGCGCTCGAGGAACTCCTGCATCTCCTCGCGGTGCAGCAGGAGGCTCTCGGGCAGCACCAGCTTGAAGCGGTGGTTGGCCAGGTACTCCTCCGCCAGCTCCCCCAGTACCTTCAAGGTGGCGTTGTCGCGCTCGTCGTCGTCGAAGATGTTGGTCAGTCTCTTGGCCGCCGAGAGGAGGTTCGACGCCAGCTTCTCCTTGCCGATGTACTTGAGAGACGTCTTGAAGGCGCTCACCCCCGCCGCCTTCAGGAGCTCGCTGTAGGACGGGCGCTCCTTGTGGGTGTAGGCCAAGACCACCGTCCGGAGCACCGGGACGAGGTTGTCCTTGTCGATGATGATGTCGCGGTCGTCGTGCAGAGGGTGAGGGACGTTGGCCTCGAAGCCCTCTTGCGTCAGGCCCTCGGGGTGCTCGTAGGAGTCGTCCTCCACGAGAGAATCATCGTCGTATCCGTCGTAAGAGGACTCTTCTACTTCGTAATCGGTCAGGTCATCTTCGACTGGTACCTGTTCGGTAACGTCAACTCCATCATCCTCGGCGTCTTCCTCCTCCTCCTCCTCCGGGAAAACATCTTCATCATCGCCTACGTCATCGCCGTCATCCCCCTCGACGTCTTCCCAGTCATCGTCGACTTCCACGATCACCGCGGGGGTCTCGACGTCGGCGATGGAGGCGCTGGCGATCACGTGACCTTCTTCGGTCTCCGACGTGCTTGACGGAGAGGGCGTCGCGGTGGGGGGTGAGGGGGTGGTGGTGACCGGTGGAGATGTGGGAGGGCTGATGGTTGAGGCTGAGGCGATGGCAATTAACAAAACCGCCACCAGGTTTCTGAAGAGCCACATTTTGCCGGCGGTGGTTCGCATAACAAGTTCTTACTTTTCTTTCTTTTTTTTCTGATATGATAGGTTTCTATGACATGTCTCGATCTTAAGCTTACGAAGTGGATAAACACAACACTGTCTCTTCACACAAAAGAAGCGAAATACGAAACAAAAGTCTTTCCTCTCCTCTATATCGCACCAGAGACCTTTTCCCCGTCCTCGACCCACAGTTTCGCAGCAGAGAAGGCGGCCACGTCTTCTCCTCGGCAGTCCGCGAGAGCAAGAGCGAGAGAGATGAGGAACCGCGTGCGTCCTTGGCCGTGGCTG